TTTTTTTTAATTTTCTGTGTAGTTCTGCGTGGGTGTTGTTTTTTTTTTTTTATTTTCTCTGTCTTCTTTCTGTCGGAAGGGACCTCCAGGCAGAATGTGGGTGCTGGGGTGAGGGGTCGGGGTCAGAAGGGCGCGGTGGCCGTGGCCGAGCTGGTGTCGGGGAGCCCGTTCTCCTGCGTGCCCTGCGCCGACGTGCTCGCCTGCCGCTGGGCCAGCGCCGAGCTCGAGTGTTTGCACTTGGGTGAACCACACTGACAGCTGAAGAATTTGCCTTTGATGTCCCAGAACCTGTCCCCGTAGTCGAAGCTGCAAGAGAGAGAGAGACACGGGAGGGGTCAGGGAACGGCCAAGGGAGGGGAGGGAGCAGGACATCGGTGCTGCCACAGCTTGGGAGAATCCTGGGCTGGTTTGGGCTGGAGAAACCTCAAAGATCATCCCGTTCCACGGACAGGGACACTTTCCATTCGAGCTCCATCCAACCCGGCCTTGGACAGCTCCAGGGACGGGGCAGCCACAGCTCCTCTGGGCAATCTGTGCCTCACAGCCCTCATTGTAGAGGACTTCTTCATCGAATACAATCCAGCCAGTGGGAGCCATTCCCTGTGTCCTGTCCCTCCATCTCTTGTCCCCAGTCCCTCTCCAGCTCTCCTGGAGCCCCTTTAGGCCCTGGCAGGGACTCTGAGCTCTCCCTGGATCCTTCTCCTCTCCAGCTGAGCACCCCCAGCTCTCCCAGCCTGGCTCCAGCCCTGGGAGCAGCTCTGGAGCCTCCTCTGGATCTCTCCAGCAGCTCCAGCTCCTTCCTGTGCTGGTTCCAGGGCTGGGGCAGCTCTGCAGGTGGGGTCTCACCTGAGCCCAGGGGCAGAGGGGCAGAATCCCCCCTCCCCTGCTGCCCACGCTGGGCTCAGCCCAGGGCAGGGGGTTCAGGGCTATCAGTGGCCACAGCCAGGCCCAGCCTGGGGCTTTGCAAACTTCAGGGGGACGCTGAGGGACCCTGGGGACAAAGGCAAGGGATGGAGTGACCCGGCTGGGCAGCAGCAGGGCTCTCAAAGGTGGCAGGGGGGACACGTACCCGATCTCCTCTCCAGCCTCTATGTGCCTGGTGCTGAAGAAGGCGATCCTGGGGAAGCGCAGGTCCTGGTGGGACATGAACACCCGCACCGGGATCAGGTTGGGCTCGCACAGGTGGTTGATGAAGCGGCTGATGTTGCCATAGAAACGGGCATCGATGCAGTAAACCTCTCCATCCTGGGGACAAACAGGGCACAGGTCACTAGGGCACCCTGGGGTTGGGGTTTATTGCTTTAAAGCAATCATCAGGCTGTTGGTCTCTCCAGCAACACTCCAGAGAGCTCCAGGAACAGCCAGGGCAGGGCACTCACTGTGGCTTTGAAAGCACACACACAGACTTTTATATTCAATTTATAACCAACAGTACCCTGAAAGCAGAGTTTATTGCACAGCACTCTGACCCCACACACCCCTAGAGCTGTTTTTTAACACTCTGGCACACCAGTTCTCCCAGTCCAAGCACCAGTTTGGCAGAATGGGATTGATGTTCAGTGCTGACTCCTTACAGGTACCAGCCCCTGGATATGGGAACAGGCATCTGTTCTGTCCTCTAATTGAACATGACAGCTTGAAAACACAAAGCCAGAGCCTTGAGAAAACACAGGGTTTTGCAGATAAGAGTGAAAGTGAGAACACAGAAATTCCCTTTCCAGAGAGCCCAGAGAGCAGTAATACTTTGTTTTCCTTGAAAATAAAAGAACCCCCCTCAGGGCTTTTTTATTCCAGCAGAGAATGACTGTGCAAAGCAGAGGCTTTAATTACAGAAGCTAATTTCAGTTGCAAAGAGGCCAAAAGCAAAAGGATCCATTAGTGGTGCTCCAAGTCCCTTTTGGACAAGCACCTCAGATCGTTAATGGATGAGTTGTGCCAGCTCACACTCAGGGGTGCAGAAAAACATCCCCAGAACTGGGGGAGGCATCAGCCCAAAGGGCCTTGGGCACACACAGTGTCCCCAGCTCTGCTTCCATCAATCAGTGACTTCACTCCCTCAGTTTCATCCATGGAAATGCCATGGTGGGGCAGGATGGGACACTCACCTCACACAGGGCTGTGAGTGACAACTCCAGGGACAGGGACACCAGAAATGAAAACATAGACAACAGAAATGACAACCCAGACAACAGAAATGACAACCCAGACAACAGAAATGACAACCCAGACAACAGAAATGACAACCCAACCACTCTCACCACAGCACAAGTCCATTCAAGCCATTCCTTCGAGGCACAGCAGGACCTGGAAGCCCCCCAGGGCTGGGATTCACACCCTTGGCAATGCCCCATCACCCTGCAGGACACAGGACCTGCCCAGCCTGATGGGCACATTTAACCAACCCCCAGTGATTTGGTGCCTGGTTTTCTCCAGATGCTCCACCTTGGTCTCCCTTCCTGCTTCCCTGAAGGATTCCCAGGAGCCAGCACAGAGGTTTTCCCTCAGGCAGGGCAGGGCCCAGGTGGGCTCTTGCTCATAAACCAGGCTAAAGTCCTTTTCAACTTCTTAATTACAGTCTGGCCCCCTGACCCCATCAGACTCATTATTTATCTTTTCTCAGCTCTTGAAATGTGTGTTGCTTTAAAAAAAGAAGAGGACAAAAAATAAAGCAAAGCTTCTTTGTCATAAGCTGATGACACAAACAAGGCACAGAGTGTTTTACAGCCTTTCTTGGAAGCCACCCCACTCCTGGAGTCCCCAGCTCACCTTTTCTCACTTCTCCTTTCCCAGGGGGAATCTGAAGTCATGGCCTTGCTTAAAACTTTTAGACTGTACTTTGTAAAGCAAAATTTCTGCCCTGAGAGCCCTCACAGAGCAGTGCAGGGGAACAAACAGCAGAACAAGCCCCTGCCAGGGTGTCTGATGGATCTTTTCTGAGCGAACAGGGTTGGTTGTTTTGTTTTTTTTTACTCTTTCAGTTCATCATCACTTTATGAAGAACTCACAGAGCTGCCAATCACACAGGTGCCAGGTTGGGAGTACCAAAACCAGGACAATTGACCTCAGGATGCTCCAAGGGGTTTGACAGAAGAGCACCTTGCTCAAAAGTGGTGTGGGCTGCACATGTTGGTTCTGCTGCCCTTTAAACCAGCTCTTACTCTCACTTAACCACGTTTCCACTAAAGCACAGCAATTGTGTTCTCTGCAGGATTGTGCTGCACATCTGTGGGACACATATTGAGAAAGTAAGAAAATTACAGCCTGAAAAATATTCCAAGCTGGAGCTTTTCAGCTCTGTTCCCAGCCAATAAGCTGGTCCAGCTCAAGGCTAGGGAGAATTTCTCCCAGGGTGAGAATTTGGTCAAAATTAAAAGGAATTAATAACAAGATAGAACACCTGTTGTGGTGTGTGCCCAGGCCCTGGCAATGGGGTGTCTTCTCTCTGAACCAATCACCTTTTCTCTACTCTGGGAGTTGCAGTCATGCTATAAAACCAAGTGTGTTTCTGAATAAACTTGGCTCTTTCTTCCTGTCATGAAAAACAACCACGTAGCTGTGCATCTTATTTCTGCCTCACTTAAAGGGTTCAAACCCCTTTCCAGATGGAGACAAGCATTTTTGGGCTTTTTGAGGAGTCAGGACCTGGGGTGAGGCTGGCTGGACCCTGCACACACAGTACCTTGTTGTCCAGGTCGAACAGGTAGGAGTCCTCCTCACGGACATCGGCCTCCGAGTCAGAGATCAGCTCCCCAACGTACCTGTGGGACAGGGACAGGCAGGAATGAGCTCCTGTCATCTCAGGCCTGAACACCTCTTTTAGGGCAGACACAAACACAGGGATGCAGCCCAGCCACAGATGGGCAACCACAGCCACAGTGCTGGCCAGCTCCAAACAGAGCCAGCAAACAGAGAGCTCTGTTCATTCCAGCAGTGAAAATCTGGCTCCAAACTCCACTTCTTCAGAGCAACACTTCAATAAAATTAAAAATTATGTTAATGACACTAAAACCACTTTAATATTAAAAATAAATTTATTTTTTTCCTGAGGACTAAGTTTCCTTTTGCCAATCTCTCTGTTGGCCAAGATCAACACGTGAATCCAAATCTCCTGAAGTTCCTGGTCAGACTCAGCTTGTCCCACAACCACTGCAGTGCTCATGCTGTTCACATCCCAAAATAAAACATTTGTGCCTACCCCTCAAGTATTTTCCAGGATATTTTGAGCAATTATGGGCTACACCACTTCAAAAGTTTTGGTTTAAAAGTCTTAGGTCTAACCTAACCTGGTAGTATCCCTGGAAAGATCTGGGCTTCCTTCTCAATCCCTCCTGAGGCAGAACAAATGTGAGCTGTTGTCCCAGCTAAGCCACCCTGTTGTAAAAGCAGGTGCCAGGCAGGTCCTCCAAGGAGAGTGGAGCAGGTGAAGCTTGGCCAGGGCTTGCTGAGAAGGACCAAATGCACCCCCACAGCCTGACAGGTCTGGGTTTGATGCAAACCCCTTTGTTGTAGGAGCTCCCACAGCACTGCTGTTCCCACCTCTGTCTCCCTATCTCCATTTGAAATAGTTTTGGACTGTCAAGGTCCAAACCCTGAGCTGCTTTAGTCAAAGTAAGAGACTCAGAGTGGAGGGACTGAGGGAGGATGTGAGAAAGCAGCAGCAGCACAGCAGCTTTTCAAATATCCAAGGCCAGGGATTGGAGCAATCTGGGATAGTGAAGGTGTCCCTGCCCATGGCAGAGATGGGATTTAAGGACCCTCCCAGCCCACACCAGTCTGTGTTTCTGTGATTTTGGTATGTAAGTGTTTCCAGCCTGCAATGAAACACTGATTATTTCAAGCAAAGGATTCACCACATAAATAAATATCCTTTGCAGCATCAACAGAATTTCCATGGCCAGCAGCCACTCCCACAGCATTCCTGCAGCCCTCAGGCATATTCCAAGTGTTAAACAACTGCCTCCAATCCCCCTGGGGCTCAAGGCAGCATTTTACTCCAAGGCTGGGGAGGAGAAGAGCCAGGAAATATGAACCTGGAGAGGATCCCTGAGCTCTGTGACCAGGGGTTTTTGGCTGTAGTTCCCAAATGGGAGCCTCCTGTTTGCCCTCAGTGCTCCACTACTGGAAATCACCCACTCCTTGGAGGCCTAAAGCATAGAAAGGTGGCCAGAAAGGGAGAGAAATTGCTGTGGAAAGGCCCAGCAGGCAGCAGCAGCTGAGAACAGCTGAATAATTCTGCCCACAGAGGCCCAGGGACAGCCACTGCAGGTTTATAATTCCATGAAATAAAATACCACAATCAAATTTTAAACCGTTGGTTTAATGCTCCTTTAAAGTCTATTCCTGGAACTCATTTCCTTTCCAAGGCTGTTTACAGATCCTAACAGGCCCCTGATTTTCCAGGCCCAGAGTTAGGGATGTGCAAGGGGTGCATGTTCCTCCCAAAAAGCAGCAGGAGCCCCTTCATTTAAGAACTCCTGTGGTCAAGGCAGTGTCTTTGTCCCCAGCAGGATGTTCAGCACACTGAACAAATAACTCCATCCCAGAGCTTCACAGGGCCACTCATCACTGCTCAAACAGCCTGCACTTGAGTGAGGCTGGAACAGGGGATCCTGGAGGTCTTTTCCAACCCTAAAGATTCTTTGATCACAGGGGATTCCATGCAAAAACCAAGAGCAATGACAGTCCCCAGCACAGGCTCCAGTGTTTTCCACAGGACGTGGGAGACAGGAGCCCTGGGGCTTCTGTGCCTGAAGGTGTGGCTGAAACACCTGGCACCTTCCTGAAGCACCACTGGAACAGAAAGCAAATATTCAAAAAAACATAAATGGACGCAAAAGGAACAGACCAGATGTTCTGGCTTCTGCATCCCACTAATTCCAGCTTCTCCAACAAAAGTCAGCAGCAGCTGTGCTGTTTCCAGAAGGAGCAGCTCCACCACCTACCAACCAAGCATGAACAGAACACATCCAAGCCAACCCACAGCAGCAGCACAGGGTGAGCAACAGCAGCTCTGAACAGCACCAAATTCTGAGGCCAGGGAGAAACCTGAGCATGAGCACAGCCCTGAGGAGCTGCAGAGCCTGAAGGCTCCATGGGAGCCCTGTGGGACAGGAGGGTGACACTGCCACACCTCCCCTCACCAAGCTGCTGCTCCCAGGGCTGTGCTGAAGGGACAGGAGGCAGTTACAGCATCCCAGAATCATCAGGGTTGGCAGAGACCTTCAGGACCATTGAGTCTAATGATGAACCCAGCACCACCACGATCACCCCAAACCACGTCCCCAGCTGCCACATCCAGAGGTGGTGACTCCAGCACCTCCCTGGGTGATTTATTCCAATGCCTGACCACTCCTCCAGCAAAAAGCCATTTTCACATCTCTGATCTGAAGCTCCCCTGGGGCACCTTGAGGCCATTTCCCCTTGTCCTTTCAATGATTCCCTGGGAGCACAGCCCGACCCCCCCGGCTGTCCCCTCCTGTCAGGGAGTTGTGCAGAGCCACAAGGGCCCCCCTGAGCCTCCTTTTCTCCAGGCTGAGCCCCTTCCCAGCTCCCTCAGCCTCTCCTGGGGCTCCAGACCCTTCCCAGCTCCCTCAGCCTCTCCTGGGGCTCCAGACTCTTCCCAGCTCCCTCAGCCTCTCCTGGGGCTCCAGACTCTTCCCAGCTCCCTCAGCCTCTCCTGGTGCCTGTGAAGAGTTACAGGATAAAGGTCACACCAATACAATGATCCTTCCAAAGCAGAGTAATAACCACTGGACAAAGCAATTGCCCAGCCAGGGCTCTGATGCAGATGTTCAACCCAAAATGTTCTGCCACAGGAGCTGATCCCGGGGTCTGCTGTGCCCTGGCAGCCCTGGGCACTGCCAGCACTGGGGCTGCTTTCCAGAGAGGAGGAAAAGAAGGAACCAGGTCTATGGGATGCTCATAGAGAATCACAGGAAGGACTCCTGGAGTCCTCATGGAGGATTTGGGTTTGGTGAGAGAACAAGTGACAGAGGAGGAATGTGCATGGGCACGACATTCATTAGCTCAGCTGTTTAGTAAGCAGCTCATTTAGCTAATGAAGCCAGTACCCAGCAGTGAAACAGTGCCAGCAGCTCCTGGCAGGGGTGGGGACAGCCAGGCTGTGGGATCTGCACCCCACCAGCCCCACGTGCTCTGCAATGTCTGTGTCCATCACCCTTCCCTGGGCTGCCTGCTCCTCCTGTGTGCTGGCACTCCAGCAGGATTTGGCCAAGTCACTGCCCTTTGCCTTGGGAGCAGTTTACTCACAGTTTACTCAGTTCCTGGGCACTGCACCACGACTCTGGGACCCTTGGTGCTTATGGACAGCCCTGAGATATTCCCCACAAACAGCACCTTTTGGCTTTATCTCTAAAAAAATATTTTAGCAGCTGGCAGCTCCTGATACAGAAGAAATGCTTGGCCAATTCACTGCAGAATTACCTTTTCCTTTATTGTTTTCTTTTAAATACTGCAATAATCTTCCTCAACCCCCCACTCAATTCTATAACACATCAATAACTAGTTCTAAAAACCACCAGCACCTATTTCCACGATGGACATGAGCTACCTTATTTAGAAGGTGTTCAGTCACTGTAGTATTGCAATGAAGGAAATATTTTCCAAACTATTAATGAAGTACATATACCACTTTAAAGCCTCAAACCGTGGGGTCTGATGACAGGTTTTTCACTAAACATAAATCTGAACATTTCTGTGCCTAAGTACTTTATTGAGTCATGGCCAAAACATGTGCTTATCCCCAAGTGCTTCATTGTTTTGCTGAATCAGACTAAAGCCAGAGCTGTGACACTGGAAAACCTCTGGAGAAGTCAGGATTGAAGCAGAAAAAGTTGTTCCACACTGCCCTGGCCTGCAGTGTCCCATACGTGTGGCAAACACGGGAGTTGAGCACATTTTGCAGCACAACCCAAATGTGTTTTTCCCTCATCACCTGTGTTTCACAGGGAGAAGAGATGAGCACAGATCCCAGCAAGACAGAGGGTGGTGGAGAAAGCACCACACTATGAGGACAGAGAGAGCAGGAAGGGGAGTCAGGAAACCTCTGGCTGAGGGCAGGCAGCTGGGCTCAATGCCAGCTTGATTTGCATGAAAACCTCTCCTTGAAGGGCAGCAAACCATGTGTGCCCTGGGCAAGTGCTGAGGCTGCTGAGACAATGGAAGCTGAACAACCTACTCCTGGATTTGGGAAGTGCAGGGGTTTTTGGGATGATGGAAGCTGCACAACTCACTCAGTGCTGGATTTGGGAAGTGCAGG